GGCAACTTAAGAGTTAAACCATCACCAGGCACCAGAGAGGAGATCAGCACCTCCCTCTCTGCTGCCCCTCATGAGGAGCCCTCTCTCTGTAGGGCCTCCCTACCCTCAGGGGAATCAGCAGCTCCTCCCAGTTTCATATCAGCCCCAAACTTGCCTAGCATGTATTCAAATCCTGTGTCCAGGTCATTCCTGAAAACACTGAGGAGAACTGGCCCCAAAATAGGGCCCTGGGAACCCCAGCAGTGGCTGGCCACCAGCCTGACGTTACCCCCATTTACTACAACTTTTTGAGACAAATAGAAAAAAAACAACTCTGCTGCTTTCCATCCATCCATGCAGTAGGTGGGTAACTCCCAGAATAATCTCCATAATTTTACCGGGTGCCAAAGTGAGACCGAGAGGCCTGTGATTAGCAGGGTCCTCTTTCTTCCAGTCAGCCGGGGCCTCTCCAGATTCCCACAGCCCTTGATAAATACCTGAGAGAGGTCTCACAATAACACCAGGCAACTCTTTCAGTACCTGGCATGAATCCCATCAGGCCCATAGACTGTGGGTGTTCAGTTGGAGCAGCAAATCCCAAACAGGTTCAACCTCAGCCAGGAGCTTCCCACTCCCCAGGTCGCAGTCCTCCAACCCAGAGGCTCCAGAGGTCTCGGGGCCCATCACTGGTGTTACAGAGGCAAAGAAGGCATTAAGTGACTTTGCTGTACACTCATCCCTGTTTGGGAGTTGACCAACCTCATCAAGCAATGAACCAATATGTCCTTTAGCCCTCCTGTTGCAGTTAGCATTGTCAAAGCCCTTTTTGTTATCCACCACAATGCTGGCCAGCTTCGGCTCAGAGTAGGATGTGTACATGTGGTCTCATTGCTCACTGCCAAACATACTACATAAATTAGCAAAATCTTGAAGCCACACTTCCAGTGACCTGTCCTGTCTCCGTGCCAGCGATTTCTTGAGATAAGGAAAGCTTTTTTCCAAGAATCCTCAGTTGTAGAGTCCAGTAATGCTCAGCTGCCAGCCTGTCGGAGGGCTGAGTCCACGAGTAGCCACAGGCACGGCAGTAAGTCCTCACGCAACAAAATCAGAACAGATTTCCTGCTCCTTTCATTGAATTGTTGGCAGTTTGCACTTGTGAAATGCTGTCTAACAATAAAATAACTGTGGGCAAAACCACTGATGTGATATTTCCGTATCCTGCTACCAATTAAATAAATCCAGATAATGGAAAGAAAAAAAGATGAAGGGTTTTGAAGAGGGAAATCAAACTCTACCAGGCTACCCACATAATAGCTTAGTTCCTGTTGATACATCTACTAACAGAAATTGCGCCTGCATGGGATTTTATTAGCTTTTACGGGGCCTTTGCATAGCTGCAAATTAATTAAATGAGAAACCAGCATTTAGATTTAACTGCATTAGGCACTCCATGCTGAAGAGTTGTGAACTGAACCTGAACTGAACCCACGGAGAACACCCCAACAAAAGTCATCTGTGTCTTGGGGTCTGACGAAATTAAGAATCACAGAAAGGGCTCCTTGCAGCTTTCCCAATATAGGGCTTACTGGGCTAAATTACAATAAATTACACGCAATAACTCAACTACAGCGAAGTACGTTGGATTGGTTACACTTAATAAATGAAGCAGCTTGATGTAGTTAATTACCTGAAATCCTGTGATATGATAGCAGATATTAGAGCCACTGGTGTGGTATTTACATTGTGAGTGGTCACTAAAACACCTTACAACGTGGCAGCTTCTGTAAGAGTTTAGCTAGTGTGACCTTATCATGCGGTAAGAGAACGTGTGGTTCTCTTCCTGTGCATCAGAAAAAAGACTGGAGACTTTCTGGTATTTAAGCTGTGAGCTTTTCTGTACGTTTTATTTGCATGGGTGAAAACACAGTTACCTTTACCATGGAATCACAGAATGGCTTGGATTGGAAAGGGCCTTACAGATCACCTTGGTTCCAGCCCACCTCCCACTAGCCCAGGTTGCCCAAGGCCTCATCCAGCCTGGCCCTGAACACCTCCAGGGATGGGGCATCCACAGCTTCTCTGGGCAGCCTGTGCCAGGGCCTCACCACCCTCTGAGGGAAGAATTTATTCTTTATAACTGATCTAAATCTCCTCTCTCTTAGTTTAAAGCCATTCCTCCTCATCCTATTGCTCCTCTCCCTGACAAAGAGTCCCTCCCTGGCTTCTCTGTAGCACCCTGTAGGTACTGGAAGGCCACTATGAGGTCTCCCTGGAGCCTTTTCTTCTCCAGGCTGAACAAACCCAGCTCTCTCAGCCTGTCTCCCTAAAGAAAAGCATACTGAGGTATGTGTGTGTACATATGGCATTTTTACTTGATGTATCCCTTTTTCTCTATCGACAGATCTACAAGGGTCCGGACTGGTCATTCCGATACACAGGCCTCCAGCTGAACTGTGAATATCGTTTTCGTGCATGTGCCATTCGCCAGTGCCAGGAGGCAGCAGGTCATCAGGACCTGGTAGGCCCCTACAGCGCACCAGTGCTATTCATCTCTCAGAGGACTGAACCACCGGCAAGCACCAACAAGGACACTGTGCAAACCACAAGGACACAATGGTCACAGAGCGACCAAGTGTGTGCTGCTGTCATTCTTGCACTTTTTGCTATCTTTTCCATTCTGATCGCTGTTATCATCCAGTACTTTGTAATAAAGTGAAGAAAACAGATTTATTTTAGAATGCTGCCCATTACATTTTACTTTCTCATAATCTAAAAAATAATTCTGTTCTCTTGCTTTTACAAAAAACAGGCATTTAGCACCGGCATTGGGACTGATGCAAACCTTTTCAGCCACTTTAAAAAGCTTACTGGTAGGTATAGGCTGACACGTGTTAGTAGAATGCAAGCCACAGAAATACAATCTTTTTTTAATATGCCTTCTTGCAGTACAAACTTCATATGGGGCGAGCAGTGTTTAAATGAAAAGGGTTTGATCAGTAAACTCAAGTGTAAAAACCTGGCCCACACTTTTAAGGGTTACTACCATAACAGGGAAGAATGTGTAGAACGCATTTAAAACTTACACTTAACAAACTTGTGCTGTATACAATATTAATCTGATGCTGTGAAAGCAATTTAGCGCTGTATTTCTACCTCCTCATTTGTCTTAATTATTTGGGAAGCAGGATTCATGATGAAAAACAGAAGGGGCTTTTCTCAGGCAGCAAATAATAAACTGGATGGAAGAGTGTGCACGAAGGAAGCTTCTTACCTGATAAATGTGGAGTTCTTCACTGCAAGTAGATGTTTTTGGAAGACTACGAGGGGATGGCACAAGTGGTTTATCTTGCCCCCAGGATTTGATGTTTACTCATAAAAAAATGCCTCTTTTACTTCTTACGAATACAGAAGGGAGAGCGAGAGAGAACTTTTTAGATTTGTTACGTAAATTTAAAAATGCATTTCTGAAGTTGACCTTTGATCGGATGCAGTTTATACAGGTGTCTGTGCCCTCTGATTTTGGCTAGTTAATAGATCTTTGAGATAAAATTCATTACTGAATTTTTGCTGTTACCCCTGACATTCACTTGCCATATCCACCAGAATCGAGCACTGCCTTCTTTTTTTTTCTTCTTTTTTCTTCTTTTTCTATCTATCTTTCTTTCTTTGGGGCACCAAATCAGAGACGAAGTGTAGTAATTTGCACCAGAAAACTTAAAGCTGCTTTTTCTTGAGATCCTAATGTTTAATGTAATGTCTCTTTGGATACTGTACCAAATTGTTGATTGCATGTAGTTAATGTTGCATTAGAGCACTTTGCAATTGCATAACTCATCAATGTTTTGTGAGCTTGCATTTGTGAGTTCTTGAATGACCAGACTGAATTTTATCAAGTATCCCATTGAACATCTTGCTAGATGTCAATGATTGCCAGTGACACAAAGCTTGTAGTGAACCTATCTTTAAACAAATTCTTGTCTCATCACACTTACGTTATTTGTTATACACTTTGTAATTAGCTATTTTTAATTTATTTGAGTTACGAGATAGTGGATCATTAATGACTTCTAGTTGTGTTCAGTTTAGCATTTTTAATGGTATTAAACACTTCTGTCGGTCTTAATAATAATAAAAAAGGAACCTCTGTCTTGTGCTTTGAAGATCTCTGAAGAATTTCTCCTATAACGGGCATGTATTGTAATTGTTTATACGTCCAATGATCTGTGCTGTAGAAAAAAAAAAATGTTGCTGAGTTTTGTTTTTAAAAAAAAAAAAAAAAAAGAAATGGCGAAGAACTTGGCCTCCAAGTGGCGAGGATGATCTGTCTTTGTACTGTATGTTTACATTTCCTTTCCGATTTGTCATTTTTCTGTATGGGCCGATTCCTTCCCACAGGCTACAGTGCTAACAGGTGTTTTCTAGAAAACCTTGGTAAAAGTGCCATGTTTGGCAGTACAAATGAGGTTTGAGTGTAATAAGCCCAGAGATTTCTTAACGGTTGAATGTCTCAAAAGCGGTAAGATTTGTCGCCGCAGGTCGCCTGCGGTGGCTTTGTGTTTTTCATAGTAAAATTCAAATGAGCTCCTATTTTTGATAGTCATTTACTAGCGTATTTGCCATTTTGAGCCTCAGTGCGCATTACTGCACTGAAGACAGGTTTTTAATGTAATCTTAATTTTACCTCATATACTGTACATTCCAAAAAAAAAAAAAAAAAAAAGAAAAAAGAAAAAAAAATGAACTTTTTAAGACGTTATAGATACACTACCAAACATATCACTTTGCAACTGTAAAGCGTCGGGCTCCACGAGGCCGAAAACTGTCTAGCCTCCTAGGAAATGCATTAAAAATAAAAAATAAAACGATGTAGCAGAGTTATCTTTCAAATCTGTGGAAAAAAAAAATATTAATAATAATAAAAGAAAAGCCTCATTCTTTGTCGTTGTCCCCGAGTCCCCTTCCAACCACGCCGCGGCGGCTGCCGCCCGCCCTCAGCCGCCTCCCTGCGGGGCGGGGGCCGGGGCGGGCCCGGCTCCGAGAGGCGGCGGAGGAGAAGGAGAAGGAGAAGGAGGAGAAGAAGGAGAAGGAGGAGGGGGAGGAGGAGAGGGGCTGAGATGGCGGCAGCCCCCGCGTGGGGTGGCGAGGGGAATGGCAGCCATGGCGAGGCGCAGTGGCCAGGGCAGCCGTGCGACGAGCGGCTGTGCTCAGCGCTGCCGGTGAGGGCACTGATCCCGGTGACGGCCGTGTGCGCTGGGCTCTTCGCCCTCGGCGTGGTGGGCAACGTGCTGACGGTGCTGGTGGTGTGCGGGCAGCGCGCCATGAAGACCACCACCAACCTGTACCTCAGCAGCATGGCCGTGTCCGACCTGCTCATCCTGCTGGGGCTGCCCTTGGACCTGTACCGCCTGTGGCGCTCGCGGCCCTGGATCTTCGGGCAGCTGCTGTGCCGCCTCTCGCACTACCTGAGCGAGGGCTGCACCTACTGCACCATCCTGCACATCACCGCCCTGACGGTGGAGCGCTACCTCGCCGTCTGCTTCCCCCTCAAGGCCAAGGTGGTGGTGACCAAGCGCCGCGTCAAAGCCGTCATCGGCGCCCTCTGGGCCTTCGCCCTGCTCTCGGCCGGGCCCTTCTTCTTCCTGGTGGGCGTCGAGCAGCCCGACAACCACACCGACTTCGGCCGCGAGTGCAAGCCCACCCCGCAGGCCCTCGAGTCCGGCCTGCTGGCCACCATGTTCTGGGTCACCACCTCCTACTTCGTCCTGCCCGTCCTCTGCCTCAACGTCCTCTACGGCTTCATCGGCCGGGAGCTGTGGCGCAGCAAGGGGCGCCTGCGGGGCCCCAGCGCAGCCCTCAGGGAGCGGGGACACCGCCAGACCGTCAAGATCCTGGGTGAGTCCCGCAGACCCTCTATGGCATGCAGGAGCTGTCTCTGGCAGCCCTTTCCCTGATTTTTTGCCATAAATTGCCCATTTGGGGGCTGCTCAGCTTCAGAGGGCCCCCATGCGCCTCACCAGCAGCATCTGGGCACCGCAGCAGGTGGGGAGGCAGGGGGAAGAATTTGGGGCCGTGCTCATCTTTTAGGGACAGGATGTTTTAGGGACAGGGCTAAAACATCCACAGGACCCCATGCAGGGCAGAGGGAATGCAGGAGAACAGCCCAGGTAGCTGGCCATGCACTCCAGGGGTGCCACTTTCCAACACCACACAGCCAGCAGCTACGCTGGCTCCACAGAAATACCCCTTTTTTTAAAGATATTACCTTTTTTTTTTTTGGATTTTACTGCATACGAGGCTCTTGGTGGTCTGCCACTTCAGAAAACCCAGCATCCCAGCAGTCCCACTGGCAAATTTCTGCCTCTGAAAAAAAAAAATCAATGGGGTTTTCTAATCAGTGGGATTTTCAGGCAGGCTGCAGACCGGCATTAAACCCTTCAGGGCTGTTTCCAAACAGGTGGCACTGCACCGAAGCTCTTCCTGCTGATGCACAGCACTCAGCTCTTCATTCATTTTCTTGCTCGTGTTCGTTGAATGAGTGTTAGGTGCTGGGAAGCTGGGGGTCCCGATCCGGTCAGGGACTGCAAAGCTTGTAGATAGCAACCGATCTCACACACACACACAAAATTAACCTAATTGTTGATTAACGAGCTTGAAATAAAATGCCTTGCTTGCTTGCTCACTGGTGGGAAGGGTTTTGTGATCTACTCGGGAGCTTTCTCATACCAAGGATGCTGGGCAGAAATAGAGCAGCAGAAAGTACAGAAACACACACATCCAAAGACTCATCATTGGACTTGATGCCATTCCCATTTTCAGCAAAAGAAAGGCATTTATTTCTATATGTCTATATATCCTATATATACATACTGATATGAAGATTTTTGCTTATCTCAAAGGAGCAGGTACCATTGATGTATTATTCCAGGCATAAACTCGCTTTGCCTATAATTGCTTTTTCTAAGCTCTGAGAAAGATGAAGGATCCTCCACAAATGCTTATTTGTTTTATTTATGTGCCTTTATAAGCAAAAATAAATAAAAATGTGGACACACTAGTTTAGTTTGTAGGAATCAGTGCTGAGAAACACGTTACCTCACAGGTGACCCTATAAACCTTAGGCTTACTTGGTTCTTCCCCACCTGCTCCAGCGACGTGGCCATGGCAAGATTTGTAGGTGATGAAGCACCTTTTAAAGGTGTTGTGTTAGGAAGCTTCGCAAGACCACGGGAATACCTGGAGTGCCTCAAGCTAGAGACACACCTGGGCAGTATCTGCAGCTGTAACTGTCCAGGGCTACACGTAGGAGTTTTAGGGGGAAAAAGCAGCAGCCAGATTAACACAGTAGGGTCTTCACACAGTGGGAGCTGGGATGTCTGAGCTTCCCCCGTAACAGCTCTGACCCTGCAGCATTTTACACCAACACAGGTGCAAAAGGAGCAGCCTCTGTACAGGGCAGCCTGCTCGGTGCTTCCTCAAAGACACCTCTCCTTGCTCAGGCTTTCATTTTCCCTTTCCTACCACACACATGGCAGTGCAGTCGGTGCCGAGGGGAATCTTTGCTGTCCTGGCCGTGCTACCCAGATGTTACAGGGCTCTTACAGCTGTTTACATTCCTCTCGGCAAACTCAGCTGTCGGAGTTCAGCTGAAGATCTTGCCAGTTGCCTTTTAATCCAAAGGCTCGCTGCTGGACCCGATGCTGTTCCCGTTCTCAGCTCGGGGCTATTTATTTCTCTATTTCATTCGTACCCGCTTGAAAAACCTCCAAAAGCAGCCGCGTGACGTAGAGCTTGATAAGTTAACTCGCTCCTTAACTCTTGCACGTGTTGTTTTGTCTTGTAGCTGTGGTGATTCTGGCCTTTATAATTTGCTGGTTGCCTTTCCACATTGGCAGGATCATTTTCATAAACACCCAGGACACCAGGATGATGCTCTTCTCCCAGTACTTCAACATCTTCGCCCTGCAGCTCTTCTACCTGAGCGCCTCCATCAACCCCATCCTCTACAACCTCATTTCCAAGAAGTACCGGGCGGCGGTCTACAAGCTGCTGCTGCCGCACCGCTCCGCCGAAAGGGCCTTCACCATCACCAAGGAGGCCGGAGGCTACACCGAATCCAGCACGAGCACGAGAAACAAGTAAAGGGCTGGCCCCTGGGGCTGCACCCCGGACGCCAGGCTTTTGGAGACGTTCCCTGCGAAAGAAAGGCGCTTCCTTTTCACAGCGGGGCCAGGAAGGGTGGACGGCTGGCAGGGCTTGCGGTGTTTTATAGCGCTTTGTGTTTTGAAATTGCGTGCGTTTCTTGCTAACGGAGCAAGCGCGGACCGTGAGATGGCGAGAGCGACGTGCGGCGCGTGGAAGGGAGCACGGGAGGGGACGCTGGAGTGTGTTACCCCGAAAACTGAGCTTTGTGTTTGCTCCGTGTTGTTCAACCCGTGTGTTCTCTACGATTCGTGTTATGCCCTAAATATCCTGACATGGAGGACTGCAAGGCAAGGAGCAACTCCCGGAGAGCCTTTGCTATTTTAAAGTGTTTTTTTTTTTCGTAAGGAGAGGGACACAAAAGGAGCTGCGCACCACCTGCTGGACTGCACCCAGGCTGTGCTGCAGGTCGTAAAACAGCTCGCTTGCTTTGCCCCAAAGGGTTGAAAATACCCCAGAGGGCTGAAATATGAAGTTGAACTGCACACCGTAAGGGCCAGTACTCGCTAGGAGGGGTTCTAAAGGAGTTACGGTGCCGTTTGCTCCGGGGTTTGACCCGTGACCAGTTGTCTTCCAGGCTATCATGAGATAAGTCTGGAATAAGAATCGGTGAAGTCGGACTGCGCTCACGTGAGCATCGCTGGTGGTACGGCCACACTCGCCTCTGCTAACTCGTTAACCTGTGTTAATTAACGTGGCTGTGGCGCAAACACGCGACGTGTTCAGTGTATGCTGGAGTTCACCGAAACGCTGAGGGAACTCGAAATCCAGCTCGGGGATCTCAAAACAGCGGAGCTGGATCCAAGCTGTCTCCAGTCTTAAAAATATGGCCAAACTGTTTCGTTAGCAGTTCACAGCTCTGAGTCACTGAATAAAACATCGGAAGGCAGAGACGTGCCCAGCTCGCTGCGCACACACGCGGCATTCCCCTTCTGTCAGCCTGCAGGGGTTGGGTTGGGTTGGTTTGCTCTTGCCGGGCGGTGCTCCTCATTAAAACATTACGTTAAAATAAACCAACAGCTGGCATTTTGTGCGTGCAGACCGAGGGAAAACAAAAAGAAAAAAAAAAAAAGAAAAACAAACCTTTGTCACACCGATACGTGGCCACGCAGCCTCTCTGCGTGCCCGCGGCCTGCTGGCAGGGCCTTTTCCTTTTTATTTTTCTGTCTAACGAGGATGGAAACGTTCCCCTGACACCAGTTTCACCACAAGCCATTGTGCAAGATGGCCAGCACGAGGGGTGAGCAGAGAGAGGGAAGATGAACCCGATGGAAGTGGGGCTGGTCCCTCTGCCCCCTTGTTTTGGGGTGCGCTGGCACCTCCCCACCTTCATCTGGGACCCCACAGCTGCCCCTGCTGCCCCGTGGAGCTTCAGCCCGAGCTGCTGAAGGTCCTGCTCAGTCTCAGAGGCGCAGCAGAAGCCTCCTGCTTCCTGCGGCAGGCTCCGTGGAGATGGTCTGGTTTGCTGGGGAAATCATTTGTGTCCTCGTTATAAATACCCTGGTAAGATTAGTGGAAGAACACACGCAGCAGGCCGCGTTTGTGAGCTTATAATGCCTTTTAATTAATGCTCTGTCCCCATCAGGACAAATTCTGCAGAAATCAATGCAGTTTGGTGAGTTTCCCCAGAATTACCAGGCCTGGCAGTGCCGTCTGTGACGGTCAGCACTGGCTCGAGTATGAAGAGATGCTCTGAGTAAACCAGAAGCGCTGCGTTATTTCAACTCCATGCTCAGGTGCAGCTGTGCTGTCCTGAAATATTTCGGCGATAGTTTCCCCTACAGGTTATAAAATAAAAAAGGAAGGTGGGACAGAGGTGCAGAACCATCTTCCCACGCAGACGATGATGATGAACGGCTTTTAAAAGAGAGAAGAAGGGGGAATGTGAAAACAAAGCATGAAGATGGATGAGAAGAGAAAGCACGTCAAGGTACTCCGCTTCTCAGGAACCTTCAAGGAGCAGAGATGTGTGCGTGGGGGGGGAATGAGTGATCCTACACAGCCCACAGGCACCCCTGGGGACTTGTTGCAGAGCACAGTTGTACTTACAAAGACCTTAAGCCAAGACTAACTACCTGGACTGCAATTCTTAATTTTTAAACACACGAAAAGCTTTTCTCACAGCAGACCAAAACACAACTTCTCCTGTCAACGGCCAGCCCAGAATTGCTGCAGCCTAAAGCAAACTCTCAGCCCCGCTCATAAAGGTGTTATGTCACCTTTTCTTGACTCTAAAATAAAATACACCTCTCCTTGGGGATCCCCACAAGGGAGTCCCCTTTCACTTCTAGGAGGTTGACACTTCAAGGTTTATCGCTCATTTATTTCCCACTCAGCAAAGCAAAGTTACGAGGCACTCGGGTTTAACTCAAGCTCTTCTGGTCCACGAGGAAATTCTGCATTTATTTCTGTTTTATGACCAAAAGATAAACAGTCCCGAATTTCCTTTCTCACGCCTCTTTGGAAGTCGTGTGAAGATTTGTTCCAAGCACATCTTCTGCAAGGAATCACAACCTTTCGACATCGGTTTCCAAATGGCACCACTCCAAAAAGCCAGAACCAGAGCAGGCAGCACTGGGTTCCCCGGATCCTTCCAGGAAAAAAGCACGGTGCTGTGAAGGGCCTGGGGAGCAGTACAGACCTACCTGGAGAAGCTCAGCAGGGCCAGGAGCTGCCTGGTTATTTTTTTTTTTTTTTTCCTTTCTTCTCTTTAATGTATCAAAACAACCAAAAAAAGAGAGAACTAGCTAGAGGGGCACCAGAGCCTAAGCACTATCACTGTTTTAAACAGACGTTTGGTGTGCTCAGAGCAATCGATCCCCAAAAAACCCTCCAAAGTTGCTCTGATATTCCCAAAATGCTGCTGTCTCCAAAGGCAATTTGCAGCTGGCCCAGCGAAGCGGAGAGGTGCAGGGATGTGTGTTTTGTCCCTCCAGCCGTCCCCTTCAAATCGGATTTGGTGCTGTTGCTGCCTTGCTCCCACAGGAAACAAAAAGCCTAAGGACATGTCTGCAATTCAAAAAAAAAAAAAAAAAAGAGATTATGCAGAGTAAGTGGAAAAAGAGCTGGCTATAAAGAGGTGCGGGTGTGACCCAAACTGCTCTGAATCAGCTAAACTGATCGAGCATCACCCCGGCTTTAGATCAGTTCAGCCTGATGGGGGCAAGCCCCTGCTGCAGCACCTTGGGTTTGCTTTAGGGACAGCAAATTCACCAAAAGAAGCTGGTTTTGTGTTAAAACAAGTTATCTGCAGATCACTCCCAATGTTTTAGGGAGCAATTTGCAATCTGATTTGCTGCTACGGCGTGCCGCTGGGCACCTGTGCCGCTGTGCTCAGGCTTGGGGGAGGATTTCCTGCAGCTCAGGAGAGAAGCAGCAGAGAGCACGGTGGCTGGGTGAAGTTTGCCTTTGAGCAGCTGGCAGGCAGAGATGCAGTTAAGCCTCATGGGCACTTGGTACCAGCAGATCCCAAAGCATTTGGGGATCTCCCAGGCCCGCTCCCAGATGTTGTGCGTGATTTCTGAGTGGCCTCCCTGCCAGGTTCAGCCCAGAGCTGCACATCTTGACTCCTTAACCCCCTTGCTTTTCCTTTCTGTGAAAAGAAGAGGATGGAAAGAAAACAGACAGCACTCCAGGAGCTCCCCGGCGGACAACCAGCTGTGGGTCACCTCCTGCAGCCATCGGTAGGAAACAGCCCTGCAGCCCCAGCACAAAACGGATTAAAACACAGAAATCTAGGGATTTGGGCAGATGTGGAGGCAGGTGAAAGTCATGTTCAATCCCCAGGAGAATTTGAAGCCAAGGATTTCAAATACAAAGCCTGAGTGACAAAACTGAAAGATGAACAACAGCACCTGATGACATATATTGGTAGGTTTCAACCGAGGTGTTTCATTTATAGGGATGCCTGAGGAGAGGAGTGTAACCCATAAGCTTCTTTAAATTAATTATGATTAAATCGGTTCAGAAATCAATGTCTTCTGACCATCAGCTTAAGTGCCTTGCATCTCCCAGAGGTTTGCATCCTTCTTACCACCTCCAGCATCTCCTAAGCAGCTGCACAGCTCCAGACCTCACAAGGCTCTTTCAGGCTACAGCTTGTTTCCAGATGTGTCCTTTTCTTCTGGGTGAATGCAACCCATCCAGAAAGTTTCTGTAAAGACCATTTTACCAACCTGTACCTGAGATTATTTTAATAATCTACCTGAGATTACTTTACACCTCCCACCAGCCCAGGTTGCCCAAAGCCCCATCCAGCCTGGCCTTGAGCACCTCCAGGGATGGGGCAGCCACAGCCTCTCTGGGCAGCCTGTGCCAGGGCCTCACCACCCTCTGAGGGAAGAATTTCCTCCTAACATCTAAAATCTCCCTTCTTTTAGTTTAAAACCATTCCTCCTTGTCCTGTCATTATCTGACTGAGCAAAAAGTCGCTCTCCATCTTTTTATAAGCCTCCTTTGAGTATTGAAAGGCTTCTGTGAGGTCTCCCAGGGCCTTCTGTTCCCCAGGCCGCACACCCCCAGCCCCCTCAGCCTTCCCAGGAGAGGAGCTCCAGCCCCTGCCCACCCTCATGGCCCTCCTCTGGCCCCGCTCTCCCAGCCCCACACCCTCCCTGGACGCAGCACTCCAGGTGGGGCCTCACGAGGGCAGAGCAGAGGGGCACAATCCCCTCCCTGCCCTGCTGCCCACACTGCTGGCTGCTGCCTGGCTTTTTGGCCACCACAACCCCAAATCCCTCTCCTCAGGGCTGCTCCCTGTGAGTTCTTCTCTCAGTCCGTGCTCGTGGCTGGGATTGCCCCAACCCAGGTGCAGCACCTGCACTTGGCCTTGTTGAGCCTCACTGGGTTCATGTGGGGCCACTTCTCCAGCCTGCCCAGGTCTCTCTTTGCTGTAGTGCCAGATAACTTGTGCTGGGCTTACTTGGCAAAGGTTTGGTAGCAGGGGCTGCAGGGGTGGCCTCTGTGAGCAGAGCCCAGCAGCTGCCCCCTGTCAGATCAGAGCCAGCTCCAGACGGCTCCAAAGGGACCTGCTGCTGGCCAGAGCTGAGCCAGGGAGCAACACTGGGTGGGCCTCTGGGAGAGCAGACTGAAGAAAGGGAGGAAAAAAAAACACGGGCAGTGCAGCAGGAGGGCAGGAGGTGCTGCAGGCAGGCAGCAGCAGTTCCCCTGCAGCCTGTGGAGAGGCCCCTGGTGGAGCAGGCTGTCCCCCTGCAGCCCATGGGTCCCACATGGAGCAGATCTCCACGCTGCAGCCCATGGAGAGGAGCCCACGTAGGAGCAGGGGGCTGAGGGTGCCAGGAGGTGGTTTTAGTCTCTCACTGCTCTGGTCTGTTAGCGATAGGCAATAAATTACATTAATCTCCCTATGCTGAGTTTCTGTTTTGCCCGTGACAGTAATTGGTGAGCGATCTCCCTGCCCTTATCTCCAGCCACGAGCTTTTTCCATCATATTTTCTCCCCATTCTGTTGAGAAGCGGGAGTGAGAGAGCGGCGAGGCGGTGCCGTGCTGCCCATCAGTGTGAAAGCACCACATGACTGCAAATGCTTACGTTGCTGCTAAGTGGGTTTGGGGAAGCTCCACAAGCAGCACCTGCCTGCTCTGCGACGTTTCCGTGCTCCGAAGCTCTGCAGAGGCTGCAGGCAAACCCAGGATGTCCCTGAAAGCATCAGAAAACGCCCTAGCTTCTGCCTCTGCCATAAAATCAAGGACGCTGAGGACCCTCCCAAGCCCTTTCTTCCCCGAATGCTCTGTTCCCTCTACGTATTTTCTCTTCACTGAGTTGGTCTGAGTCCCTTTTGCAGCTGTTGGTGAGAAACAAGAGCTCTTCTCAGGAGCTCGTGACAGCCAGACTCCATTTTCTTTTCATTTCCTTCTTTTCAGACGCTTCCTGCCCCATGAAGTGCGTGTGCGTGCGAGGAGCCGGCTGTCTCCAGCTGGAAATGTCAAACACATTTCACCTGAGCTGGGGCTCTGGGAATGCTGCATTCATTCCTAAAGAGGGGAACAAAACTGAATTTTCCCCCTTGTCACTGAAGCACGGGGCCAAACAGCCAAAGGAAT